ATCATCTGTGGCCGTGTCCGTCTCTCACGTACTGGACTCCTGTCACATCAGATGCTTTGTGGATGTCTAACCGAGAAAGAAAGAAAAAAACTGCGATGCCGTCAACGAACGCTTGTTAGAAACAAACCGACAAGAGTCCCTATGAGGATCGACTACACAAGACTTGTGAACTGGTCTGTGAAACGAACTTGCTATCATAGGTAGGTTTGGTAGGTTTGGTAGGTTTTGCCCTATCATCATCATCATCATCATCATCATCATCATCAGAAGAAGAAGAAGAACAGTGTCGAATGGATGGATCGAAACACTATGTAAGCAACATCAACACAAGGAAGGGGAGTAATTGTCCTAACAAGCTTGGAATGTTAATGACTCTTCTCATAGTGAAAGGCAATGATTATATTTCCAACGCCATTTAATACAGAAGTCTTCCATTCTTTACGCATCTGGACTCGATTTTTTTTTGTTTCTTTTCTTTCGTGAATGGTAACATCTTCATGCTTGCATTAACCGAATACCGGATTTGTTTAGTAATCTGTTGCTACCATTTACAGCATTTGGAGCGGAAGTTTTTAAATTGTACACCTTTCCTAATGTCTGTTGTCGTCCCAGGAAACTAGAATTGATGTTTTCTATTCTTCATTTTCTATGACGCCACGACAAAGAGGCTTTCAGACAATGCTAAAGAGCTCCATATGACGCTCTCCCACGCGTGAGAAATTTATGCGGGTAACGTCTGTCTTCAGTAGAGCTAAATTTATAGGCTTAGAGAAAAAAATACTTTGTGGGTGTATGGAGAGAAAGATTGTCAATCTTTTAAATAGAAAGTTAAATGACAAATATTGTTAAGGACAGTGAAGAATTGGAAGTCGTGAAGAGCAATGATCATCGACGTTCCGAAGGAACACGGTACATAGAATAATGATTATAATAACTTTGATATCTCTAGATGTAGCGTAATGGTTAGCAAGGTTGTCTCGCTAGAGTAATTGCGACTGTATAGTAAGTTCGATCCTCACTGGGTGCATTGTGAAATATCTAAGCTGCTTTTTGTAAGTCTCTATGAGGTTATTTCGACGTGGTGTTATGCGACTTGGTAGTGAGTTCGATCCTCACTGGGTTATCTATACTCTCTGCCTTGTGCCACATTTAAGCTTCGCTTAGACATGGATATCTCAAGATATAAGCCCCTCATTTTTCTCTTTTAATCCCATTTTGGTTTGTCTATGATTCAACTCCTACCCTGTCTCTTGAACAGGAGTAGAGGTTCATCCGTTGTTTCCTGTTTAGGGTTGGATTTCTAGTTTCTTTCTTCAACTCTATACTAACGTCTCCGCCTGAACTCTTAAATTTTATTCGCTATTTAAATACTGACCTCTTCAAGTCTAAAATTAGCTGTGTACTTTCCTGTTATCTTTCTCTTTCTTACGCTGATATAACTCCACACAGTAATCCTCTACCTTGAGTGGCCCTTGAGCCTTGTATTGGGTGAACATTATTAAAAAAAGAGTAAAAGAAAAAAGTTAAGTAAATATTGAACATTTTTTTTTAAACTGGCGTCGCTGGTTGGTGTTCGAGCCCAGGTGAAAATCCCCGCTGTTTTCGAAAAGAACGAATCGGTCCTCGTAATGGTTGAAATCATTCGATTAAAGACAAAATCTGTTGTTCCCTGACACTTTTATTGGCTGCCACTGTTATTTGAGTAAAGCGATAAAGTGTTCACTATCTTTTCTCCTCGGGGTGCCGTCTTAATTTCATTTCTAACATGCCTAGGGTGGAAACTGGACAGGCCGGGGCGAGGTTGTCCCAGAGTCAGGGTTTAAACACTTTGCTTGACAAGGTCTCTGAATCATGACTGACTCCCAGATCACCTGGTAGTTGATTATTCTACTCAGCACCTGGAGCCTGGTTGGCCATGAATAGTTATATTTTCCTGTCTCTAACACGAACTGCTTACGGCCATATAGTGTTCAAAACACCGGTTACCGTACGATTACCGAAGCAACGTCGAGCCTGATATCGACACGGATGTATGTTTGGGAATACCAGGTGCTTTAAGCCTGGATGTGCGGGTGGTGTAATGGATAATGGCTGTGAATGCTGGACAATTCTCACAGATGAAGAGGTGACTTGAGCCAACAGCAATGTGGTTGTATGGAAGGGCGAGAAGAATATCATGGACGGGACATGTGATAAATGCGGAAGGTTTAGAGGAAATGGGAAGAAAAAAGGATATTATTTCTTAGAATCAGAGAGAAACAATTTTTGGAAAGAGGGTTTGGAAAAAATGACAAGGGCAAGAGAGACGTTGGGGAAAACAACGGGTAACCTACCTAACCACCTTTTGTCAATGGGTCACAGGGACTGGGGGAGATAGTCAGGAGATAAAACGTTACTTAGAGCTACGAAGAATAGGAAGTTGTGAAGAACCATGATCAATTACGGCCTGAAGGGACACGGTGCATAAAAAGTATCTAAAGAGTAGTTTTACTGACAACCTTAGGAACTCGTTAATATAAAAAAAATTAAAAATGTATGTTTACTGATGTTCATCGAATACATGGCTCGAGAGGCTTTCTAGGTAGAGGATTACTGATTGAGGAATGTGATATAAATGCAAGAGGATTTAGTATGAATTGAAGATTATGAAGTTGAAGAAAACAGATAAAGATTAAGCCTAGACTTGTATAGTTCAGGGAAGCATTCACGCGGGAGCTTTTTTTTTAAGGAAAAGCTGTTTAAGTGGAACGGTCTCTTTACATTAGGAATACGGAGGAAATGAGAGTGATTAGTGTCCAGTCTGTAAATGTCTGAACTGGTGAACCTAAAGAATGGAGATTACGCCCATATCACGTTGAAACACATGTTCCCGTACGATCACCAAAGTTAAGCAACGTCGAGCCTGGTCAGTATCTACACATGGGTGACCACTTAGGAATGCCTGATGCTGTAAATTTGGATGTGCGGGATATAACACTTCTACATACATACATATATATATATATATATATATATATATATATATATATATATATATATATATATATATATATATATATAGACCATAAAAACACACGTAAACCGAGAGATAGCTTATTCCTAAAATTTCGCTTGAAGATGAAACGGGACTAAACACCTCAATTCAACTTAATTTTAATAATTATTTGGATAGTTTCGGCTCGTTTTTGAAACATGAGAACTCTTATGTAGCGAAGGAATCATATTTTTAAACAAAAAAATATTATATATATATATATATATATATATATATATATATATATATAATTCGAAGACGAAACATATTACATGGCTTTTCCCACTTTGTCATTCAGTTACCTAACAATAAAGTGGAATAAAACTAACAATAAAATAAAAACTGAAAATACTTACCTAAAAAAAGAAGATTCTGAGTTTTACATATCTATTTAGGACTTAGGAATCATGGCTCTACACAAGTCCCCTTTATTTTACTAAGAGTGAATTACCATCAATAAGATGCTGGAATAGTTTCTCGTTGCTTGATCTAAGCATTCCGTTTTATCGCCAGATATTTTAATAAATCTCTTTTCCTGTCATGTCACGGAAGTTGCCGGAGAATGGAGCCAGTGAATATAAACTTGGCTAGACCAATTTCTCATAATTACCTTACCATTCGGGTAAACCTGTTATGGAACACTGACTGGTAGCTGTTACACACACTGTCAACCTTGATAAAAGACAGTTATAGATATGAGAAGGGAGAAATGAAAAAAAGAAAGAAAGAAGAAGCTAATATCAATAGCATTGGTAATCCGAGAAGACTTCCGGTCTACGCGTGATGTTTTATAAAAAATGTACATTTACACTAGTTCGATCATGCATGGCTACACACGCATATATATATATATATATATATATATATATATATATATATATATATATATATAATATAATTTCAAAGAAAGTAACCAAACAACTACGCCCTTTTAGAAAAAAATGTACGCATGTTGCAAATGGCTCATATATTTATGGACGTATATTGTTTGGATTAGTTGCTGTGTGTATTTATAGCCAAAGAAGATGTGCTTGAAATATTTGGTCGCTGATTTTGAGTACTTTTTACATTCTAAACTATTTGTAAACTTTATAGATAGCATTTGCTTATTTTATATCGGCGAGAGATTCAATATATGACGTTTACTTATAATTTCATGATAGTTAAATTACTAAACAGGAACAATCTCATCTGCAAGAAAAACAAAGAAAAATGTCTTCTGTTGGTTACTTAACCATATCGGCGTCTACGGAAATGGAAAAGCTGACATGACAGCAAAGACATCCGTCAAAAATAAACATTTCAACATTGAAAATCCACTATACAGACCTCAAAGCAACTACAGGGTGATGGAGAAGTAACTCCCTATTTCATGTATGAGTGGCCTACCAGGAGTTCTGACTCAACATCCTGTCACTTTTTTCTACTATACCAAACCGAGACTTACACGCACTTATGTATTCCAAACCACAAGAGTTCCTGGTAAATTCAGTTGGCGCGATTCCTAGGTGGCTCGAGAAACTGGTAGCAAAATCCGGTGTCTATATTTAATTTAAAATAAAACCTCACGCTAAACGCTTTCCTCTCATATCCATTTCTTGTAAAAAATATAGATAATAAATAAATTATAAGTATTTTAAAATGGGGAGTTATTCTTCAATCACTCTGTAGATAATCATACATTCTAAAGAAGTATTAAGAATTATAGTCCTACTGTCCAAACAACAAACTTTAGAAAATTAAACGAATTCTAGGAGAAAGACAGAGGCTTAGGTCTATATTCTGTTGACATACCGATTCTCGTACGATCACTAAATTCAAGCAATGTCGAGTCTAGATGGTTGACTGCTTGGGAATCTTAAGTGCTGTAAGCTTGGATGTGCAGGTGGTGTTATGGATAATGGCTCGGAATTGGAAATTGGAGTGCCGAGTTCTTCTTCCCCCAACTATGGGTTAATTAGTAAGACGCGCATGAGAAAATCATTATTATCTCCAAAAGATTTTTTACAATCTAAAAATATTTTCTGGTTTTAAATAATCTGCAAATGGTTGATAATCCGTAAAAAACAAAACAAATCCATTAATCAAGAACATTGATTCTCAACCACCATATTGCGGCTCACTAGTGTGCCGCGCGATCCTCTTAATTGTGCCGTGAAATATTGAAGAAATCGCGAAAAAACACCAGGCAGGTTTCACACTAAATAAGCTGCTCAAATAGGTGAATAGGAACATTGAAATAAAGTAAATTTTTAAAAAGAATAAAAACTTTTAATTCCAATGGATAATTTATTGTTAAAACAGATATATTTCAGAAAGTTTTTGCAATCCTTGATCAATCTTGAGAATTAAATGAAACAGTGACTGAGCTACATTGTATACGTTATAAATTCAAATTAACAAAAAATGGAACGAATTATGTTCGCGAAACATGCGTAAACTAAAAGCGTGAGAATTGCTTAAAGAAAGAAAGAAATGTCATTTCCAAACCAGAGTAGAAGTACGTTTTTGTCTGTGCATATATGTTTTTAAATCTATAGTTTTATTTCATAACATTTAAATGTATACCCTTCAAAAATGTTGCTGTGTGCCGTGATATTTTCATTTGCTCCTAGGTGTACCGTTGCTTAAAACACTGATCTAGGAGAATGACATCATTGTCTCAGACTTTCTCGGAAGGAAGAAGCCATCCTCTCAAGAATCAGAATAGGACACACCTATACCTCTAAGTCATCTCTCATAAAAAATAAACATTCTCCTGAATGCGCAGCATGTCAGGAAGCATTTATCGTAAAACATCCTAACCGACTCTAGTGACCTTGCTTATATATGTCAATGATTTTACGACATGACTGGTCTAGAGGACATTTTCAAGAAGTTAAAAGCAGAGACTATCCTAGCCTACTTGAAGGAGATTACAGCACTAAATAACTCCGTTTCAAAGGCAGAACTGGAAATTGATAACGCCAACGAACTAAAGGATTGTTTTCAAGCCATATATTTAAAGCAAATCTTTTCGGCATTAAATAACCGGCAGAGGTATGCCGTTAGTCGATCAATCAATCAAACATACTTTATGAGTTCAGTAGGGTACATTAAAAAAAAAAAAACAAAAAAAAGAAAAAAAACTTCTCTATCTCTCTCTCTCTCTCCCGGTCAAGATCAACACCCTACTACCTCGGAGGGTGGGGGTGCTCGGGTTTTCTTTCCTTTTTACTTTTTTGGGGGGGTTGTCGGTTTTACGATTTATATTTTCTTTCTTTTTTAATAAGGAAAAAAAAAAAGAAAGAAATACACACTCTTTGTAACTGCGTTGTTATAATACCTAGTCAGTCTCTACAACCGCCCCCCCCAAAAAAAACCCCCTCATTAAATGCTGCGACTCCAATCAATTAACATTACGTTAATACAACACACATCATCAATACGGACCTAATGGAGCACTTTGGCTTTGTAAAAACAATGCGCTAGATTTGGCTGACTCGTTCTGTAGTAGAAGTTCTGACTGGCACTAAATCGGTTGGGTTTCGATCCGGGTTTGAGGCATTCGGTTGTCTAGTCGCACTGAGGAGCTGTGATACAGCGAAACAGTACTGTATGCGAATAACACACACACATATATATATATATATATATAAATAAAAAGAAAGAACAGCAAGATATATAATCCGGTGTTCTTTTAGATATTTTTATTTTTACAAAATAGTGCTCAATGTCTAGAAAAATAGATTTATCTGTAACCTTGGAAACATGAATTTTGTTTTAGCTGTGTATTTAAAACCCAGTAATTTTTAAAAGTTACTCCAAAATTCGCTTGAGGATGAAATGGAACTAATGTCTTTAATTTAATCACAAAATTAAATTCGGGGCTTTTAGCTTCCGTTTTTGAAACCTGGTTAGAACTGTGTAGCGAAAAAAAACATATTTTAAATTAATTAATTTATAATATATATATATATATATATATATATATATATATATACCGAGCGTAACAGCAAAATTGTACAAATCGTGTAATAGCAAAATTGTCCAATTGAACCGTTCTATCTTAGAAATGATTAAAATATCTTACTGGAATTCCCCGAGATTTTTATAACATTACTAGACTCTACTTTGAACAATAACAATGTATTTAGCTATAAGTTGAAATGATGATCCCTCGTCCTGTTACGACCTCCTAATCCAGTTTTCTTCTCTATTGATCCTTGATTTTTCAAATTTATTCACCGTTCTCTTGATGGTTCTTGAATAGACTTTGAAGATGGAAGCCAGTGTATGAATGTTGATACCATTACTGAAAACCTGAATGATATTTTCCTCTCACCATTGCTCAGTTGGGAAGATATAGTGGAGCTGACACTAAACAGTTTTAACCTGTTCTCTTTCTAGTTGAATAACAAAGGGTTTTCAGTGATTCTTAAGACAAATGGTGTCAAAATTATCCCATGCTGTTACACCCGGTATATATATATATATATATATATTGGAAAAAATCAAACATTACATTTAAAAGTGATTGAATTCACCCATTTCAAGATCGGCATGTTCACCGAGAGGAGGTTGATCAAATGTAATGGAATTGTGGCATATAGAAGACGACACCGTAGAGTTGGGATTTTAAAAATTCTCTCTCTTTTCCGGTCAAAATTAACACCTTACTACATCGGAACGGGACGTATGGCTACCTCGGGGTTTCTTCCCTTTTTTCTGTTTTTTTTTTTTTGGTTTCTCGGTTTTGCGTTTTACATTTTTTTTTAAAAAAAAGAAAGAGAAATACCCACCCTTTGTAACTGCGTTCTTATTGCCTAATAGGGTGTAGTGGGAGGAAGTAGCAGTTGAAAGATTATGTTGTGCTAATTCCAAATGAGGAAGGCACCCAAGGAAAATGCACAAAAATTTCACCCCAATGCAGGTCAAA